ATGATCGACTCGATTTTTGAGTCCCGTCGGTACACCGCAAGTCGGCTAATTAACCAACTCAAAATATAATAAAAATAAAAAAAATATTAAATTCTGTTGCTGTTATAGTTCTCCTTGTCTCGAAACCAGGATCCTGTTTTGGGGAGGGTCCAATTTGCCTTTAAAAAAAATTCACGACAAAATCGGTGGCACCCCTCCAGCCATGTATGTACCGCATGAAATCGGGGAGAGCCCAACATGCGCGCTCAAAGAAAAATCTTCCAGTTCCACCAAAATCCTCCACCCCTAGTTTTTTTTTTTTGGAGGGGTCGGCGCCTCTCCGACACCCCACATGGTTTCGCCCCTAATTGAATTCATATTTTAAATATTAGTTTCTTAAATATTATCATTTTATTATCTATTGATTTATAATCTATACTTATATAAAAAGGCATTACATTTACTATAATTAATAGGAAGAAAAGTCAAAGGTAATTAATAAATTTTAAATTTATCTTCTAAATTATATGTATTAAAAGTAAAAAATAATTAATTGCATGTATAATACATCCAACGGGTAAAGATTTCTCACATGCAACCATTATGGATCAAGTATATTTTTCATAGTTAATGCCAAAAAGGAAAAAAAAAAAAAGATTCCTCACATGCAACCGTTATAGATCAAGTATATTTTTCACAATTAATGCCAAATAGGAAAAAAAATGAAAAAAAAAAATCTTTTAGATTATACAATTATTTTTCAAATTTATTAATCCTGCTAATATATACAAGCATAATTAGTTTATATTATTTAATGAAATATAATAAAGCCATAAATAACTAAAATCAATTTCTAAAATAAAAGAATTGAGAGAGAAATTATGAGTGTGTATCAGTAGTAATGATATCATATAATTTAATAATACAATTTAATTTTTTTAAAAATCATACAATTTTTTTTTTCTTTGAAAAATATGTTTTAATTTTTATATATATATATAGTACTTTTTGTAATAAATTCAAATGAAATGTGTTACTTAAGTATCTAAACAATTTAAAAATTCAAATATTTAAACTATATGATAAACAATTTACAAATCTCTATTTTTATTTAAATATGTAATTATATTTAAAATAATTTTAAATATAGCCAAATTTATCTACAAAATCGTATCGATCCTACCAGTTCAACCGGCTGGTGTTGACGGATTCAATGGCAAATATATTATTCATGCGAACTAGACTGATTATAAACCGGTTCTCGGTCCATCCAGTCAGACTATGTCAAACACGGTTTAGTTTAAAAACGATGTGTAAATCTTAATTAATTTATTTGTATATTTAATTTATAACACAATCATTGTTTTCCCGTGCATCGCACGGGTCACGCACTAGTAATATATTATCATTCGTTGTCTTATATATTTCACATTTTTCGTCACTTAAATGATAGAAAATCTCAAAAAAAGTTTTTATATAACTGCAACAGGGAAGAGGGAGGTGAATTGAGTATGAGCCAGGTCCGTTACTTAAATAGGTTGATAAACGAATAAAAGTCATTTCTTAATATTAACGACTAGAGTTTGAATGGAATTTGAACCTTAACGAGTTGTGTTATACGAAGTTACATACACATTCATATTTTTAGAGTCTTAGTAAACACCATAAACTAGCTTATAACTTATTTAATTAAATTATAAATTTATTTAATTCAAATGAGTTTAGTTTGGTTGGACGATTTATTTTTAAATTGATTTAGCTCATAAGCTTCCATAGGTAGTTTCAAAAAAATTGTTGTAATTTTTATTTCAGCTAATTTTACTAAATATTTTTATAATATTAGTCGACTTAGACTATGTTTGGTAAAACTGGTTGATAACCCAACTAAAATAAAAATTATAACAGACTTATTTGAAAAACTAATTAAATAATTTTATAAAATAAGCTCGATTTTTTTTTTTTTTAAAAAAAAAACTTTGTACCATACCAAGCATATTTCTATACAAAAGAGCAAACTAAATAAGTTATAAGTTAAGCTTATGGTATTTACCAAACACTTTGACAATCCAACCCCGTAACTAGATGATTTTAGACTAGCCGATCTATGTTTCATTTTTTTTCCCTAAAAAGAAAAATCAATAGTGTTCTCATTTCCTTTGTTTGGTGACTCGAATTCTATTTATTATAAATGAAGCACCCTATTAATCAAACCCTGGTTCATTGTATGTCTACAGACTACAGGCCCACTAGAATCCTCAAAATTACCTAAAAAAAAGAGTGGGCCAGGCCCAAATAATATTCTTCCCCCTCTTCACTCTCTTCTAGGGCAAAAATCGGAAGCAAAATCTCAGCTACCTTCGAGCCCGAGCACATCAGTATACTCCATGACCACCACAACAATGGCCGCAGCTTATGATTCCGATCAACCTCTTCCCGGGGACTCCGCCGTCACCGGATACGACCCGAGCTACGTGCCGGACTCCGTCAAGTCGTTCGTGGTCCACATGTACCGCCACATTCGAGAGAAGAACGTGTACGAGATTCACCAGATGTACGAGACGTCGTTTCAGAGCATCAGCGACAGGTTCTTCAAGGACTCCCCGTGGCCCTCCGTGGACTCCGTCGCGCCGTACGTTGATAACGATCACGTCTTCTGCTTGCTGTATCGCGAGATGTGGTTCCGCCACTTGTACGCCAGGCTCACACCGACTCTCAGGCAGCGGATTGATTCGTGGGAAAATTATTGTAATCTGTTCCAGGTTTGGATTTGTTTATGCAGCTCAATTGCTTGGAATGTACTTTTGCAAGTGTGGTAATTTTGTATCCTTTATGTTGGGAAAAGTGGGTTTATCTTGATGAGGGCGAACATGTTAGCTGGTGATGGAATTTAGCATGATTCGAATGAACTAAACTGCAGTGGGGATTTATATTTTAAATCTGATTTTGCTGCAGGTTGTGCTGCATGGAGTGGTGAATATGCAGCTGCCAAATCAGTGGTTGTGGGACATGGTTGATGAGTTTGTTTACCAGTTTCAGTCATTCTGCCAATATCGTGCTAAGATGAAGGCCAAGACAGAGCAGGAAATTGCACTTTTGCAGCAATCTGATCAGGTCAGGGTTGCTCGGTAGTATTTCAAGTAGGTTTTGGACAGTGATACAAAACCTGTCGAATACTTCACTTTGGGATGTTCAGCTAAAATTTACTTGCTCGGGTCAGCTAGATTCATGATTTACCTGATGTGATGATACTATTTTAACCTTTTCGATTGATACTAATGCTATTGATATATCCATATAGGACGTGTACATTCATATTATAAGATTTCTGGGTTATGCTTGAATTTGAAGGACATTTTGGCTATTTGGATGTGCTGGGTTTGCTGGCGTCACTGTTAATTTGACATAAATAATCTGCCTAATGATGCTACTTTTGTTTTGAGAGATACTTTCCATCGCACCATTGATCTGTTAAATTTGAACTTTTGTTGATATGTTGTTATAGAACAGTTACAAATATGTAAGTTTCACAGGCGTGGAATGTGTATGGTGTCCTCAATTTCCTACAAGCACTTGTGGAGAAATCTGCGATAATTCAAATTCTAGATCAGGAGAAAGAAGGCCTTGAACATGAGCAGTTCACGGCTACAGATGGATATGATTACAGTGGTGGGAGTAATGTCTTGAAGGTCTTGGGGTACTTCAGCATGATCGGCCTTCTTAGAGTTCACTGTTTGTTGGGTGATTATCACACAGGCCTCAAATGTTTACTTCCTATTGATCTAAGTCAACAAGGCGTGTACACCAGTGTTATTGGTAGCAACATTACAACTATATATCACTATGGGTTTGCAAATCTTATGCTGCGAAGGTAGGTTTTATGTAATATATCCGTTCAACCCCTTGCTAATGGGTTTTTCTTTTCTTTTATTATTTTAATTCCTTGTGTGAGTGTTTGTAATATTTATTCATATTTGATTTTCATCCTTCTCTAGTTTATACCTGCTTAAGTGTCTGTGTGCAATAAAACTAGTGTTATTTCATTGACAGTATAACTTATATCTGTCCTAGTTATGTGGAAATATGATATATTAATCTATTTTGGCTCAAGTGTATCATATTTAGAGTATTGTGTTGAACTACCAGCAGTATTTCTTGTACAACAGCGCCATCTTATATATTCTCATCAATTTTTATGCAGATATACAGAAGCCATTCAGATATTCAATAAAATCCTCATCTACATCTTCAAGACCAAGCAATACCACCAGAAATCCCCTCAGTATGAGCAGATACTGAAGAAGAATGAGCAGATGTATGCTTTGCTTGCTATTTCTCTTTCTCTGTGTCCTAAGGTACAGCTCGTTGAGGAGACTGTGAACTCTCAATTACGGGAAAAATACGGTGAGAAAATGATGAGGATGCAGAGGTATGATGACGAGGCAGTTGTGCTGTATGATGAGCTCTTCTCCTATGCGTGCCCAAAATTCATCACCCCATCAGCTCCAAGTTATGAGGAGCCTCTTGTAAACTACAACCAGGTATGAGACCATTATTTGAATGAGTGTTCTTTGCAGAAAGTACCGATGGGATTTCTTAATTATAATGATAATCACTTAATATTTTCTGAATCACAGATGCAAGTTTGACTTGCTTAAGAACAAGTAGTTTTGAATGGGGTTTTGTAGTTAACCTTTTATTCTGTTGGCTCTCCTCCACGTTAATGTTCATCTAGTTTTCCTAATCACATGAAGTTATAATTTATTTTAATTCTTTCAGGATGCCTACAGACTGCAGTTGAAGCTGTTTATTTACGAATTGAAGCAGCAGCGACTGCTCTCTGGTGTTCGGACATTCTTAAAAGTGTACTCGACAATCTCCATTCCAAAGCTTGCTGCATATCTGGAAGTGGATGAGCCTACTCTTAGGTGAGATGTCACATTGTAATCCAGCTTGAAGTCCTTCTTTTACCTGATATGATAATATTGTATAATTTTTTTTTATCATTTTTTTTTTGGCAGGACAATTTTGATGACGTATAAACACAAGACGCATGTTGTGGATTTGGATGGGAAAATCACTTCAAATGCAGATATAGACTTTTACATTGTTGATGTGAGTTCTTTTTTTTTGCCCACAAGATCTTTTCATTGGGAACTAGTGTCAAGAGGGTATTTGTGATATTAAATAGGCAACATTTCTTACAATGAATACCTTACCCGATTCTTGCAGGAAATGGTTCATGTGGTTGAATCCAAACCGCCAAAGAAATACGGAGATTACTTCATGCGCCAAATTGTCAAGGTATTGTGACATCACTAAACAAACATCTATTAGAATTTTCTACACACAGCACAGTGATAAATTCCTTACGTTGTTTTTTTTTTTCCTTTTCGTATTTGTTGTTTTCGTTTTCAAAACTTCGATCGCAGCTCGAAGGGATAATGACGAACATTGACCGGGTAAAACTAGAGTAAGTGCAAATATGCTGTGGTTTGAATTTGTGGACGTTGAATGAAAGGGGAAGAAATAAAACCCGGAGAAGTTTTGGTTTTCTTGGATTTGTATCACCTGGGTTTTTGGTTCATATGAAATACACTTCTTAATCCGCTTACAGGGGAAGGTTGGTGGATTAAGTTTTCCTTTTCTCTTTGTTTTGTTTTGTACCGAATTAGTTAATTACTGGGATTGAGTGATTGTTAATTTTGCTGATTTTGATCTTTGTTGCTTTGCAAAATTAGAGTTGATGTATTGGCTCTGTTTGACATTTAGCTTTTTAGCTGATTTAGCTGATTGTGGAATACAGATTGAATTAGCATATACTTTTTACTAGTTGATTGAGCTAGTTAGTATGTTGGAAGTGTTTGATAAATAATAAATTTTTTTTGTATGTAAAATTAATTAAAAATTGTAATCTTCTATTAAATAGATATTTGGATTCATACCTCATCTATTTAGTTTTTTAAAATATTTTGAATCAAATACATATTTATAATTTTATATATTGATTTTTTACTAATTAAGCCAGAGTATTTTACCAGCTTTAAACTTCGGATTATAAAAAATATGTTAGAACCTCTATATTTGTGTTTTGTTAAACAAATTTTAAGAGCATGTTTGTTTATAGAAATTTTTGGTTTTGTTTGGATTTTTTGGTTTGGTTTGGTTAATTTTGAAAAATATGGTATGGTTAGTTGTTAGTGAGTATATTAAAATAATATTTAAAATATAATAATTAAAATAGTTTGATATAAAAGTAGGGAATAGATGGTTTGATGTGATAGTTAGTTAAAATAATGTGAGTGGATGAATAGTGAATTAAGATTGATGTGGTGTGTATGAATGATTGATTGATATTATTTAATTATTTTGATAACAATTGATGATAGTGGGGTTGAGTTAAAGTTGAGTTAAAAAAAGTAGTTGAGTTAAAATGTTAGAAATTTTTTGAAAAATTCCATAAACAAACATGCTCTAAGCCACCTCAAAATCGTCGATAGCTTAAACTCTAACGAGCCAATCAGAATTCATAGCTGTTAGATTTGTTGGACTTATTTATTAATATTAACGACCACGCAATAATGAGCTGAGTTTGAACTTCGAATTATCAAAAAAATTATGTAGAAATCTTTACTTTCGAACTTCAGTTGATCAATTTTTAAGCAAGCTCGAATTTACTATTATCTCAAACTCTAACGTGCCGAGCGGAACTGAGAGCTCGTTAACTACCAAAGTTTGAACTTCGAGCTACAAAAAACTAGACAAAAAAATTCAATTTCGACCTTAATTAAAAACGAATTTTAAGCAAGCTCAAATTCGATTTATATGTCATAGCTCGAATTTTAACGAGTCGTGCTAAAAGAACCCGCGTTTCGGTCATAAATAAAAAACAGTACTCAGCTAAAATGGACATTTCACAGCCATCGTCTTCACCCACTGATCGAAGGCTAAGCGCTCTACTCCGACACATTGAAGGAATCACGACCGCCGATATGGACCCAAACCACCCGATCTCCGCCGCTCCGACCTCAGGCTCCTCCGGAGCTCGGATCTCAGTGTTCGATCATGTTGCTCGGGCGCCCGAAGATCCCATACTCGGCGTACTCTCTCTCTCTCTCTCTCTCTCTCTCTCTCTCTCTCTCTCTCTGTGTGTGTGTGTGTTTTCTGGAGGTTTTCGAGGTTTCGCGACCTTTAAGTAGTGGATTGTGATCAAGCGTCAAGCTAACCAATCAGTGTAAATGACCTTAGTTATATGGAAATTTGAGGAGAATATGAAGTGAGATTATGAGACAGTTGAAGTTTAAAAGAACAGGTTGCGATTAGAAGATTGTGTGTGTGTGTGTGTGTGTGTGTGTGTTTATTTTTCTCGTGATGCAAAGTAATCGAAGGTTGATCTGAAGAGTGCAGTTGCTTCTGGTTTGTTGTGTGTGATATTTTGTGGATTAGAGATCATATATGATATATCCTGATTTATGGAGTCTCTAGTTGCTTGTTGTTGAGTGGAATTTGTTTTTGAATTTGTTAGTTCAGGTAGAGTGCCGTGTATTCAATTGTATATTTGTTTCAGATCACTTTTTGGATCAAGCTAATGATGTTGTTGGTCGAGACTTCTTTCTCGGTTGTTTAATAGGCGCATGCAAATGGTAAATGTCTGAAATATACTCGAGATTGTTCAAGTGCTTTTGTGATTATGTTATATGGGCATGTTTCATCATTAAAACAAAGCCTCTAAAATAAAGAAAACAAAAATCCCTTATTATGTTTACTGAGATTGTTTATGTTAAATTGTTGGACTTAGATGATTGCTGATTATTAGATTCTGTTTATATGGAATCACCCTTTGTGTTTTTAGTCCTTGAAATGGATTTAGATCGTATATATGCAGTATGAGTTATTGTGTTATGCTCCCATCCATATGAAATTTAAGTTCACATTGTTTTTGCTTAAATGAATATATGAATCGGGCTAAGTTTTTTAAAATCAGGTCACTGTTGCTTATAACAATGACCAAAGCCCAGCGAAGTTGAATTTGGGAGTTGGTGCATACCGAACGGAGGTGATTCTTACATGCTTTAATTTAATACGTGATTTGATTATGTGAACTTCAGTCATTTAGATTGATTTTATTTGTTACATGTGCAACAGGAAGGAAAGCCTCTCGTTTTGAATGTTGTGAGAAGAGCAGAGCAGATTCTAGTGAATGACAGGTTTAATATCTTCATATTACTATTCAATATATCAATTTCTAATGAATTAAAATTTGGAAAGAGCTGAGGTTGATTCATGTGCAGCTCTCGTGTGAAGGAGTATCTTCCAATTGTTGGATTGGCAGATTTCAATAAGTTGAGCGCAAAACTCATACTCGGTGCTGACAGGTATTATTTTTTATAAATCACAGTGTGTTGAATCTCTTAGAGTGAAATCTTATCTTAGTTTCTTACATAATGAAGTTTAACACATTTTGATTTAACTTAGTGGAGAAGAGTAACCAAAAATACCCTCTTTTACAGTCTCACTCCCCTATTTCATATATTTATGAATTTAAATTTATCAAACAGATGTTAATATTGAATTTGGTCTTTGTTTTTTTTACTAACTTGTTTCACCTGCAAATTGGTTCACATTTTCTTCTCTTGCATGGAAATAGCCCTGCTATCCAAGAAAACAGGGTGACCACTGTCCAGTGCTTGTCTGGTACAGGCTCTTTAAGAGTTGGAGGTGAATTTTTGGCTCGTCACTATCACCAAGTAAGTTCTATAATTTTTTTTCTATCAATATATTCAATTTTCCTCTTTGTTTTAGCAACATACAATAATATTCAGGTGCTTAACTTTTGTCCTTGGGTTTGCAGCATACCATCTGTATCCCGCAGCCAACATGGGGAAACCACATAAAAGTCTTTGGTTTGGCAGGGCTGTCAGTAAAGAATTACCGCTATTACAGTCCAGCTACACGTGGACTAGATTTTGAAGGTTCAGTTATTGCTTTCTTATAAGCTTGAAATATATAGGTTTTCGTGCGAGATATGGATTTAGCTTGAGAATGCATTTTGTTTTGTTAGCAGGCTTATTAGTATAATTGATATTTTTATGTTTCACAATAGTTTTAGATTTCGATGACCAGAAGTAAATTTCGACAACACGGCATGAATATCAATTATACTTATTTGTTTGATAGTAAAATCAGATCTCACATCAGCATTATAAAAAAGTAAAACTAAAGGTTTGTCGTCGAACAATACGGTTTCATGATGATGTTTTAAGGTGCCAGACCCTCCATATTCTCTTTAATCATGGTTTTATTTAACGAAATTACAGGCTTTTTGGAGGACCTTGGATCTGCTCCGGAAGGAGCTGTTGTGCTTCTTCATGCATGTGCTCATAACCCGACTGGTGTTGACCCAACCCCTCAACAATGGGAGCAGATAAGACAGCTTATCAGATCAAAGGCATTGTTACCTTTCTTTGATAGTGCTTATCAGGTAAGCAGTACTAACTTTTGCGTTCTTTCCAAATCTGAGAAATTGACTAATTTAATGTGTGCCAAAAGTTGTTATCCACTATGTTACACGGACTCTTCTATTTAGGAACAATACCCGTGTCATGTTGTGTCGACACTGGTGCGGGTATGAGTGTCGGGTGTGGCATTTTAGCCTAAAATATTCAAGATTTCTAAACTATTGACGAGTCGGACGCTCATATCTCCACACCCGATACGCCACCCATATCCGAGTCCAGGTACCATAGGTTACCCATTGGTATTCAAATCAATTTTTTTTTTTTACCTCTTTAGGGTTTTGCTAGTGGAAGCCTGGATGCAGATGCACAATCAGTTCGGATGTTTGTAAATGATGGAGGTGAATGCCTTATCGCTCAGAGTTATGCTAAAAATTTGGGGCTTTATGGGGAGCGAGTTGGCGCTCTGAGCATTGTAAGTTTGCAATATAAGGATTCTTCTTTTTTTTTTTTTTTTTCCTTTATTGGGACATGCACTTCTATAAGTTAATATGTAACACCACATGTAGGAATTGTCAAAAAAAAATTTGAGGTTTCACTCGTTTTCGTCTGCTCATGTGAGAAAATGATATTATTACTCATTGATAAATCAAGGAAATGGGAGCACAGAGCTTTTTGATTGTATTAATTTGTTTGCCCGTTACAGATCTTTTTCTTAGCTGAATAGTTGAATAATTAACTTGCTATAAAGCACAGTCACTTAAGTTGATCCTAGTGTAATCTCCATGGCTCAATAAAATAATGCTGATCCATGAAAAATACTCAAATTCTTCCACATTTCCAGGTTTGCAGGACTGCTGATGTGGCAAGCAGAGTTGAGAGTCAGCTGAAATTAGTTATCCGCCCCATGTACTCGAACCCTCCCATTCACGGGGCATCAATTGTAGCAACGATCCTGAAGGACAGGTATTTAAACACTTCCCTATCTTTTGCGGTTTTGTAAGGTAACAATATTAGCAACATGACAACCAAATCGAACGAGAAACTTTAAGATAACTAGTTTGAAAATTTATAGTTTGTGGTCAATAATATATACTGTAGAGCAATGTTTGAAGAATGGACAATCGAGCTGAAGGCTATGGCTGACCGTATCATCAGCATGCGCCAGCAACTGTTTGATGCTTTACGTGAGCGAGGTAACTAACAATTTGAGATGGCCCTTTTTTTTTTTTTCTTTACCCGACCTCTCCTTGAACTTGTAGCTTTCTAGAAATTTGGAAACACGCTCGTTTTTTTTTAAGTAACTTTTTATCAATTTTTTTTTTCTCTTATATTCGATCTCGTGTTTTGCAGGTACACCCGGTGACTGGAGCCACATCATCAAGCAGATTGGCATGTTCACCTTCACTGGACTTAACTCGGAGCAAGTTGCCTTCATGACTCGGGAATACCACATTTACATGACCTCTGATGGGTAATTCAAATTTTGTACGGTTTTTCAAAATTAAGCATGCCAAACCAAAAAATCCAATAAAATCAAAATATTTTATATTCAAGTATCCCGATGTTTCCAACCAAACCGACACGTTTTTTTCGTTTACTGCTAATATTTTTTTACTTTAGGCGAATAAGCATGGCTGGTCTGAGTTCGAGAACAGTGCCACATCTAGCGGATGCCATACATGCTGCAGTCACAAAATTAACCTGAGTGAGTTTGTCACTTGCCAAATTAAATCTGATTTTTTCACATCAACTTCTTCCTTTTTTTTTTCCACTGGTTTTTCGTAATAGTGTACTTCTTGAAGGTGATGTGATGTACGAATAAATGTCGAAACAATTTATGGTTTTACCCTTTGTGTCGAGCAAAATTATGTACTTACGTTTTTAGTCTATCCTGCACTTGTTTAGAGCGCCTTTTTCTCTTGTAAGTCGAATAATGAATGGAACTTGAAAGTTCTCCTGAGAATATTTTAAGATACTACGTACAAAAACTCCTCAAGTTATCAATTTTCTATTTCCTGGGCTTTAAAGCTATTGAATTGTTTGAGTCGAACGAGACCAAAGGGACTATATAAAATAATGATACAATCAATTGAATGAAATTCAAAGTTCCAGTTTCCATACACCACAAAATATGCCACATATATATAATATATATTTAACACGATCATCATTGTAGTTTTCAATATTTATAACTAAAATTTTCTCGAAATATAAACCCAAAAAAAAAAAAAATCATACATAAGGTGGTAAAGAGTAAACGGCACGGCACACGTACGGACAGAGAAAAAAAAAATACAATGGGATGGTTTGGCCATGCCTTCTCCATCTACCTGCAACCTTTCAACAAATACTCAGACGAACTCGAGAAACTTACTCCGCTCGACACCTTCTCGGTTTCCTTTCCGGGCGTCCCACATTCACTAAAGTCGAGTGTTCGCCTTTCCTGCATATGGATATAACATACATACGTTTAACTAAACATGAGAGAAAAAAGCTTTCAACATACAGAAACAATTTGCTTTAAGGACTTGAAAATCTCTAACGATTAATTTTACGTGGTGCAAGAAGTTCATAACAAACCGCGTACCGTAAAAGTGGAAGCTGAAATGGGAAGATCTCGGTTAGAGCTCGGGCTGCAATGATTCTCCTTGTCTGCTGCTTTTCGGTCCACGAAGCATTTTCCCTTCATTATTGTTTCGGGAGTTTCTTCTCCCAAAACATTCTGGGCATCGACAAATGCTTCGGCAGTCTGCTCTCCTAACTGCTTCATTAACCCGAGCGCATCATAACTCCTGTCCCCAGGGCTCAGGAAGTAGCCAATGTCCTGCAATAAAACACTTAGTATCATCAGATATATATTATGGATACAGAGAGAATGTGAATTAAGTTGAGGGATACTTACAGCAACTACCCCTGAAAAGTTCGGGGTATTCGAAAAAAAAAAAATATTTTATCAGGTAATTTTCCATATCTCAAGCGTCAGACTTTCTGTCTGGTTATTTGGAGAACTTGAAAAAAAATTGAAGGATTGCAATAGGTACAATGATAGTAGGAATATATATTGTAAGAACTAAGAATGATAAGGATAGCTATTTTCACTAGCTTAATTGGCAATGTAATTGCCATTGCCCAAGTTTATGGCATGCGTAACTATCCCGACGCTGTTAAAACTAAGTAATTTTACAAACCTCGATTGTTATATCTGTATCGACTCTGGGGCCTTGAACAAAAGTGTTGAGAAACCAAGGGGACTTCCAAGCTGAGGGAGATTCAATACTCCTCTTGAATGGTGTGTCTATGAATCTGTTTAAAAAAAAAAAGGGACAAACTACAATATTAGAAATGCCATAGAAAAAGTACAATATTGGAAATGCCACAGCAAGAAATGAATGATGGTGAAAATTAGTATAAGCACAAAAGGTTTGCAATCATCTTACATGCCACCATTATTGTTTTCGGAAGCTACGCCTTTGCCCGAAGTTTCGACTTTCTTCCCGGGACTTGTGGATTGAAGAGATGTTGTAGCTATGATCAAATTGGTCCCGTCGTCCTTGGCACACACTCGAGGAGAACAAAGGACAGAAAAACCCGAGTCCATTCTTCTGGTATTTTGTTTCCCGAGAGCTCGGGCACTTATTAGATCAATAGATCTATCAGCCTTGCCAAAACGATCAGGGGAAAAGAATGTCATGTCATTCATATTCTGCTCAACAAGGATTCCAGAAAACTCGTTCGCCTGTATAACAAACCAAAAAAATGTTAACTCGAGCCATACTTGAGTCAAATGTCCGTTTACTCTAGGGTGAAATACTATGATAGGAATAGTTGCACCGTACAAACAAAAACAAAGAATATGTTTTGTAAAACTAGATGATAGCTGATAAGTTAACTTATAGCTTATAAGTGATTTTCGAGCTTATAGCTTATAGCTTATGACTTATAGCTGAAAAACTAGCTTATACTTGAGTCAAATGCTCGTTTACTCTAGGGTGAAATACTATGATAGGAATAGTTGCACCGTACAAACAAAAACAAATAATATGTTTTGTAAAACTAGATGATAGCTGATAAGTTAACTTATAGCTTATAAATGATTTTCGAGCTTATAGCTTATGACTTATAGCTGAAAAGCTAGCTTATACGATAAAAGTATTTGGTAAAATTAGTTGATAAGGTAGCTGAAATAAAAACTTCAACAAGCTTTACTTGAAAAACTACCCAATGAAGCTTATGAGATAAGCTCGAGCGTTATAAAAAATCTCGTCTTACCAAACCAAGCTTATTTGAGCAAAGGAAGCTTATAAGCTAGCTTATTTGGTTACCAAACATAACCTAAATCATTTGAGAATTCATGATGAGCTAGCTCATAAAAATGAGACACTACTACTAACCGTTTCCAGTGCATCATTATCCTCCCCACCCGTTTTCCGTACACCGGTTAATGCAGTCTTTTCAACTCTCTCATCCAAACACTCTACTCCATCAGGGCCCACATTTTCTTTACCCATGCACTCATCGAACATAGCCTCTAGTCGAGAGAAATTCCCATCCAAGCCCGAAGAAAATTGCTCCTGCTTCTTCTCAACCCTTTTTTCAGATAAGGGGGACACCAAGTCCCGGTGCCTCTTCTTCAGAATCGAGGGCGTGCCAGTAAAAGTCCGGGCAGCACTCTTTAAAACTGCATCCGGACTAAAACAACCATTCTCATCCCTAGATGGAGAGTCCCACATCCGAAAGGAAGCCATTACATGGCGGAGGCCGAGCGGACTGTACTCCAGATGTGTGTCGCCACCAGGTGGCACGAGGTCGCAGCTGAAGAATGGTATGTCCAAGCTCGGAAAACGTGGCGGCTCGTAAAATAGGCTCCCCCCCGAGTCCTTTGGCTCATCTTCTTTTTGCTCATCCTTCGGTGGTGGCAGGAAAAAATCATTGGCGGGGACGAGTTTGGGCGACTCTTTGAGCTCATTATTGGAGTTGTTATCTGAGTCCTTGGGGCAGATAAATCCATCGGGTATAATATTATTATCGGCATTCTCGTTCGAAGAGTTATACGGATTTGGATTGTTGCTGAACGCAAGTGTCTCATCGGGCAGAGGAATTTGATCGGGAAACGGGACAGACTGAGTGAAAGAAGAACTGGCCAGCAAATCGGGTGGCAGGTAAAACGATTGTGGCCCGAAAGTCGTGTCTTCATTTATCTCGACGTCTTTAATAATATCTTCTGGCGGGCAGGATCCTCCATGGTCAGCCTCGGGGTACACAGAAGGTTCTTGTGGAGGTAATGGTAATGCCTCGCGGTTATTACTCAAGAACATTCCAGAATCTTGCCCCAGGTCAAGCAATGTCATGTCTGGTAACTCATTAGGATTAAATTGCCAGTTTTTCCCCATGAAAGCACCCCAATCCAGAGATAACCCACTTTCAGGAAATTGTTCGGCAAACACATCTTCTTGAAACGGAGGATGGTAATCTCCTGAGCTTGGAATTGAGTTCAATTCCTCAGTTGCAGCATTTGTTTGTGGTGCTACTGTCTTATTATTAGTTGGCCTAGATATTGAGGTGAAAACGAAAGCTGAAGATTGACTGCACTCAGATGCTTCCTCTAATTCCAGTCCGCATTTAACGACACTATCATCTTCACTGCTTTGTGGAGCCTTCAGGGAGGATGAAGCAGCTGCTGACTGATGTGGGACGAGCGGAAGACCTTGGCACTGAGAGAGCAATCCCGAAGCCAAATACATGTCCAGTTTCTTCTTGACCGAACTATTCCAATGATTTTTTATTGCATTGTCCGTTCTGAACAAAAAAATTAAAATGAATATATACTGAGAAGTTTATCAAATAAGTGAATATAGACAACAAGCGACATGTGAAAAGTGAAAACTCTTAACTTTTACCTTCCAGGTAAAAACTTGGTTAACTCTGCCCACTTGTTGCCGTGAATTTGATGGGCACGAATCAAATCCAACTCCTCATCTTGTGTCCAGGGTTCTTTGTTTATGTTGGGATTCAGATGATTGTGCCACCTGAAACAACGAATGAAATCCACGCGTGACGTGGCATTACAATCTTAAAAGAGAAAACTGGTAAACACATGGAATACATTTAATGGCTCATAAAGTTCATTTCTTAAAGTGGAGAAATTTGAACTGCATTTGTAAATGGAAGCTTTAGAAGATTACCTTTCTCGGCCAGGCGTAAAATTACAATCTTAAAGAGAAAACTGGTACATACATTGAATAGTGAATACATTTAATGCTCATAAAATTTTCATTTCTTAAAATGGAGAAATTTGAACTGCATGTATAAATGGAAGGTTTAGCTTTACCTTTCTCGGCATTGCTTTCCTATACGACCAGGAAGGTGCTGTGCAATAGTAGACCACTTTTTGGGCCCATATCTCTTCACCATTTCAATTATTATTTCATCCTCCTATTCACACATAATAAACACTAATTGCATTGGATCTCAGATTCGTATTGATGATATATAACAAGAGGATATACAAAAAAGTATCCTCACCTCTTTAGACCATGGACCTTTAACGAGATCTGGATTGAGAACTTTCTGCCACCTATGTAAGCACTGCACATCTGTTCGGTCCTTGAAACGTTCCGCTAAATTTACAACAGAATTAAAAAATTAACAACAAAATCGACAAAAATAGAACCTTTGGGATTCGAAATTCTAGTTGAAACCTATTCCTGCTTCACCTGCAACAATAAATAAATAACAAAGGGCCTTAATTCCTTTCTTACCTATCTTTTTCCAATTTTTTCCTTTGAACTGTTGCACGGCCACTCGCAATATCTCATCCTGGAATAAATCAGAAAAGCAAATTATTCACATCACCATTCCCATTTAGATGAACAGTTAAAACATACCCATTTTAATATATATACGAAAAATAATACCATCTGCCTGCTGTAGAAAAAAAGTTTATAAATACACAAAAACTTAATACCACCTTCCTGCTGTACAAAAAAATTTTATAAACATATGTTGCTAACTATAAATGTCTATATACAACAGTGGAAAGAGTTCTGATTAACCTCTTCCGCAGTCCATTGTCCCTTTGTGGAACGCCGTGTTGGGCCACTTGTTCTCCTGCTCAAAAAGTATGGAAAACTCATGTCAAATAAAACATGACTACAAGTTTATTCAGTCTGCAACGATCATTTTGACTCAAAATTGTGTAAGAAAAAGAGGAAACACTTTGTTCTGCCCAATACAAGTTACCCAAATACACATACAGACAAAGTGAGTCGAAATTCGAATATCATGTCACCTTCTCATCGTATCACATTTGAACAACTGATCCACATACTAAAAGAATTGGCAAATTTGATGTTTTCAACAGCTTACCCGTGTAAAGGCCGAGCTCTTCGTATACCATTTCTAGCACCATCTGACAGGGTGTTGTTGCTTGTCCTATCACTGTCCATATTTACAGGACAAATATATGAATACGCCAATTCCAACTCGTTGGCAATGTTCTCCAGAGCGTCTTCCCCAAATCATTATATGCTACCAATCCAGGATGAAATCAACAACTAAGAAATATAAGGAGCCACAAAAGGAAAGAGTCAGGATCCATAAAATGCATATATGCAAGCAGTAGCTAACATTAGTACACACTCAGAAAGGATCGACTTAGTGTCATACTTAATCCGGGGGTCTACCTTCAAGAAACCAAAAGTTGGAAGCTTGTTATAATTATAAAATCGACGCAGTCTCACAATCAGTACCTTGAATTCGCGTTGGACGCATTAAATTGCAAAAAAAAACATACTCTTTTTGGTGGATGAGCGGTACGTTCAAAAGAATTCTAAAATTTTCGTCGGCACTTATAGTTTGAAATTTAAACTAATCCATATACATGAATGGCATTAATACATAACTACAATTGCGTGGGGAAGCATAAATCTCAAATTTCAAATTCCAGTAGCTGTCTTCCAAAGTAATTGTCCACAACCTCAATGCTACCTTATCACTAACTAAACTCCAATTTACAGTAACTGTGGTCCAAAAAGTTTAAGACAAACCAAAAAAACAAAATAAAAACAAGAAGATACAAGAAAATTTAACACGGGAACAACCTATAACAAAATTCTTGCAGGATGCCAATAAGAAGATGAGGATTGTGGAAAAAATGGTGAAATTAAGTATTTCTTTCAAACAGAATTGGCTCGATTAATTCACTTCACCCAAGTAAATCACAAAAGCCACGACTACACAGCCAAACAAAACGAAGGTAGCTACAAAAAGCTGAAGAAGTATTAAAATGAGGATTGTGGAAAAAAATGGTGAAATTAAGTATTTCTTTCAAACAGAAATGGCTTGATTAATTCACTTCACCCAAGTAAATCACAAAAGCCACAACTGCACAGCCAAACAAAACGAAGGTAGCCACAAAAAGCTCAACTCAGGTAAGCAACGTGTACTGACAACAATGTACAAACAAGAAAAAACATCAAAGAAAAAGTGAAGAATTCAAGGTAAATAAAAAGGAAGTAACCTAAACAATCAACACACTCCACACAATTAAATACTAAAACCATACTCATAACCTCAAAATCAGCAGCCCCTCCTAGTCTAGGGTTCTTAATCCATACCCATCCTACTAACCAAACGGCGCTAAGAAACCCAAAAAAAAAAACTCAGCTTTAACACTCCAAAACACAATTCGATGAAATCCGAGCAACTCACCGGACCTAGCTTGGCGAATTTCGTTAAAAAGATGGAAAATGCTCGAATTCCAACCGATCACCTCACCGCGCATTCGCAGATCCAAACCCAGACTTCATACATAACATAAACGCTTAACAAAATTAGGGAAAACCAAAAGAAGGATCTACAAATTCTTGATCAAATTGTGGAGTGATGGGCAAGCGTTTGCTCGCCGGCGGCGAGTGTGTTTCGAGTGAACGTTAGTGTGTGAACTGCGTGTTTTAGAGAGAAGAAATAGAGACAACGGTACAAAAAAAAATTCAAAATATAGAAGGCGGAGGCTGTGTTTTGATTAAAACATTAGGAGAAGCATTGGTTTGTGCCACGTATGCAGTGGGATTAATTAAATAATTGATTGTGTGTCAATATTTAATTAAATTAAATTAAATGTTTTATATAAGAAAATTAACATTGACTTAAAAAAAAAAAGGAATTTGTAGTTTATGAATGTTTTTTTTAGTCAGCCACGATATCCAGAGCTATGCCTCGACTAATCTGTTGGTCGACCCGGATCGCACACCTGGAAGTGGTGGGTGAGTCTTCCAACAAGGGTTCTCGGTTAATCCACAAAGACTCAAATTCGATACTTTGTTTAAGCGGCATCAAACTACTTACGACTTGTGTTAACCTGTGTGCTGGTGTAGTTTATGAACTTAGTTTTATAATTTATCTTATTTTTTTGGCCAAATTAATAGTTTAAGAGTAAATTAGAGGTTTGACCAGACCTACACTAATATATTATTAGATGGGTTGTGGTTTCAATTTTTTTTTTTTTTTTTT